CCCGCCGGCAGGGACCCGGGACCCGCATCACCCCCGGCCGGCTTCTCCACCTCTCCTGGAGTCCCACCGCGGCTGGCAGAGGTCAGTGCAGCCTTCCTCCCCTCCCAGAGCCCTCAGCCCCGTCGAGAAGGTGGGGGGCGTTTGGCTTTTTGGGGTGCACCCCAAAGACTAGCTTCCCCCGAGGGTAGGAGTCCTGTGGTGCGACCCGGGGGTGGGGGATGGTGATTTCCAGGTGAGTGCTGTCACTTTGGGGTGGTCACTTTGGGTGGCCTGAAGCTTGATGCTGTCCTCACACAGCTCCCATCAATGCAGGAGGAGGGAAGGGGCAGCGGGTGGGGGTTTGGAGGGGATGATGGGACCTTTTGCCACTGGCTGAGCCCTTGAGGATCTCCTCTTGCTCCTTACAGGGTGGTGGTGGGCAGCATATGTGAGACCTCAGGACTGGATGCACCAGAGGAGACATCCTTGAGAAAAGCAGGGGTATTGCCTTTTTTCCACCACTTCCAAGCTGTCCCCATCACCGGTGGGCCTGATCTCCCCATCTCCTGGGGCCATGGAGATCTCCTCTCTCCCTGAAACCAATTCTGCAGACTGCACAGGTAGAGGGGTTTGGGGTCTGAATATGCCCATGCCCCCAGCAAACCCCAGCTTCTATGTCACAGTGCCTGTCATCTACTCAGTGCTGTGGGGCTGACAGGCAACACTGCCGTCATCTATGTAATCCTCAAAGCTCCCAAGATGAAAACGGTCACCAACATCTTCATCCTCAACCTGGCCATTGCTGATGAACTCTTTACTCTGGTGCTGCCCATCAACATTGCTGACTACCTGCTCCTGCAGTGGCCCTATGGAGAGTTCATTCTCCATAGACCAGTATAACCCCTTCTCCAGCATCTACTTCCTCACCGTCATGAGCATTGACCGCTACCTCGTTGTGGTGGCCACCACCCAGTCCAGGAAGATGTCCTACCGCCAATACCGAGCGGCCAAGATTGTGAGCCTCTGTGTCTGGTCCTTGGTCACAGTCATCATCCTGCCCTTCACCATCTTTGCCAAGATACACAAGGAGCAGGGGCGCTCCCAATGTGTCTTTGTGTACTCCCACCCCGAGAGTGGCTGGTGGAAAGTCAGTTGGATCTACACTCTTGTTTTAGGCTTTGCCATCCCAGTGTCCACCATCTGCATCCTCTACACAACCATGCTGTGCAGACTGAGAAGTGTGCACCTCCACTGCAATGCAAAAGCCCTGGACAAGGCCAAGAAAAAGGTGATGCTGATGGTGGGTGACATCCTGTTTTTTGCTGGACGCCCTATCACCTGAGCACATTGGTGGCCCCCACCACAGATATCCTACAGACTCCACTCATCGTTGGGATTTCCTACTTCATTACTAGCTTGAGTTATGCAAACAGCTGTTTCAACCCTTTCCTGTATGCCTTTCTGGATGACAATTTCTGGAGGAGCTTTCGCAAACTGATGGATTGCAGAAGCACCTCCTAAAGCCAACACTCTATCCCCTCCTGTGTCCCTCTCACAGTCACCTACTCTTCCTGGGAACATCAAGTCCAGAAAGTGCTTTCTTTCCATCCATGCTGTGATGGCCCACAGGGCTTCAGATCATCTTACTACCCAAGACACAAACTGAGGACAGGTAGATCTTTCTCAGCTTCCCAGTACTCATTTCCCCAGCACTGCTCTCCATCCCTTGCCACGGTTTGGGCTTTGGGTTTTATTTTTTAATTCCTTCTCTCTAATGTACTTCTGTCCTAGGTCTGCAGCTCACAGAGCTGCAGTAGGTCCCTTTTCCCTTTTTAAAGGTATCACTTTCTGAAGTCAAACCACATGACTAACAGTATCTATTACTGGTGGTTTGTGAAGCCCAGTAAAGGTGTGTTATCGAGTGTCTTGCTTAATGATTCCTCAGCCTCTTTCATACCCACAGGACCTGCTTATCTAAAGTCTTGCAAATTTAACACTCTGAAAAAAGGCACAGGTACAAATGATATGGAGTAAACCTGGTATTGAGATAATTTTGTTTTACAGGGGACAGTGGTAAGGTCGTCAAAATCTGTGATAACAGGCAAGAAAGACCTCCATTTGGCTTTGAGAAAGAAAGAGCAAGCCCACACTAGTGACAGCAGGGAAGGGACTTCCTACAACGGCTTGTAGTGATAGGACAAGGGGCAATGGGTCCAAATTGGAAGAGGGGAGATTTAGATTAAAAATTGTGAAGTTCTTCACTGTGAGGGTGATGAGACGCTGGAATGGGCTGCCCAGACAAGCTGTGGATGCTCCATCACTCAGGCTGTGATTGGATAGAACTAAGAGCAACCCGGTCTAGTGGGAGGGGTGGCAGGGGGGTTGAAACGAGATGATCTTTAAGGTCCCTTCCAACCTATACCCTATGATTCTATGAATAAAATACGCAGATGTGGGTTTGGAGCCACTAGCTGTGGAAAACATCTTAACAGTGGTTGGCAGCTGTAGTTTCCAAAATCTGTATCTGTTGTTTGCATCAAAAGTGATGGTTGATTTTTTTATTTGTCGTTTGTTTATTGGCAATCTCCTTCTTGCACATACAGATTTTACTTTTTTTGGTACTAGAAAACAGAAGCAGAAGGTATTTTCAGAACAAGATAGCCTTTGAGAGTTTGAAAAGGACTTGCTGAAATGTGGGGGATATATTGACTTCTTCCCTACAAATGGTAAATAAAATTTGCAGTGGTTCTGTTACTTTTAATAATCTCTCACACACTTGCACTCTGCTTGCTGGTGAGATACATTAATATTTCCCTTAAGGAGGACAAAGGAAGTATAAAAACCCAAACCAAATATTAGGGGTTTATGTGGTGGAGGGGGGAGAGAGTCAATGAAAATTTCACTAGAATTCACATATCCAACACTGCATGAGGAGATTTTTTTTCCTCTTCTCTCCTCTTTTAGTCCTCTAACAGAAACTGAAAAAATATTTGCAGACACTTAAGATTTCTTATCTTATTGGGTTTTCCCTGTTCTTCCCTGCAGCACACGCTGTGCTGGTTTTGGCTGGCATAGAGTTAATTTTCCTCATAGTAGCTGGCATATGGCTGCGTTTTGGATTGGTGGGGAAACAGTATTGATCACACAGGGATGTTTTAGCTGTTGCTGAGCAGCACTTACACAGAGTCAAGGCTTTTTCTGCTCCTAGCTCCACCCCACCAGTGAGCAGATTAGGGGTGCACAAGAAGGTATGAGGGCACTCTTCATGTGCATGACTGTGACCCAGGCACTTCTCTGATCTCTGTAGCACATCTGGACAATTCCCTGCAGGTGTCTCTTGGGCACATCTGTCAAGGAGAAGTCCATCTTCAGAAAGAATCATTTTATTTCAGGCAATAATGTTTTGTTGGATTGACTCTGTAAGCTAAACTTAACCCATTTACAATATTTTTCTCTTTCTTGGAAGACTCTAAGAAGCAATTTCTTTTATTTCTCTTCTGTTTCCGGTTTCTTCTCCTTTTCATCAACCAAATAATATTTTTTATCTAATAAAACTTTTGAGAGCAAAACCTTGCTGTTTTCTTGTGCCTAGTTAAACTTTGTATACCCGTTTCTAAAACAAAGTAATACCTTATTTTTAGGTCAAATATTTTTAGAAATATTTTTGCCATAAAGACTTCCTCTTAAATGAAGAATAGACAGGATTTTGTCTGTATATTTGAGCAGATGGAGTTTTCCTGAAGAAGTTCAGAAATTCTGGATTTTCAGGGCCTGGAAACACAAGAAATTGTCTTTTCCAGAGACCATTCCTATGAGGCCCCAGAAACTTCAGCTCTATAAATAATTCAGCAGAATAGCATCCAATTTCTTTGAAATAAAATGTGCTTAAATTAATTGCTAGTTAATCAAGGAGCAAAAAGGATCTGATATTCACCCAGTGTCTCAGCATAAGAGGTGGAAGTTTACAGACTTGAACCGAACAGACCAGCATATGGTCTAATATTGACGTCGTTGTCTAACATAGAGCAGCTGGCAAACCCTCCCTGTGTTCACATGTGCAATGTGGACAAGTTTTCATGGAAAAAGAAGCAGATTGTGATTCTTTTGCTCCTTCTGGTAAGCAGCTGCTTTCATGAGCAGCCTAGTCATGCCAAGGAAATGATTCCTTAATTAAACCTGTCTGAGGGTTAATTGCTCACCAACTAGCACAAGTGAGGATCTCGCAGGCCGGTTCATTCCAGCTATGGTGGTTCTCAGCCTCCTTGACTTGTCTGGCCTTGTTCTTTTTCAAAGTAGCTCCTCTGTGGAGAGCAGAGAAAGTTTTATAATTGTGCTACTTCAGCAATGTAAAGCATGCGTGCAACCAAAGGTAACTGTGCATTTGTGTCTTGAGTGAGAGATACCCAACAGCTACATCTCCTGCATTACAAAATAAAAAAAAATAAAATAAAAAAAAATAAAATAAAAAAATGCTGCATAAGTTTTATATATTTACCGTTTTTCCCATCTTCTTCCATAGCCATTTTTAGGAATTGAGAAGAAAAATCACGAATGATCAATTCATTGCTAAAACTGTGTAATTTGAGGCTCCGTGAGTGCTTCCGACACCTCGTTCTACTTTCCAAACCTTTACACCACCAGAGGGAGATCAAAGACAACTTATTCAGCGAAGGGACTAAGTGGAAACTCGAGTTTCTGCTGTCATGCCAGACACAGAATAGGTATTTTCTATATAAGGCGTCTTTTCCTCAAATTTTCCTCAAAGTATGATAAACAGAAGTAGGATATGAAAATATCCTGAAAGACACTCAGCATCAACTCTGGGCTGTTAACACCGGTCATAAGAACAGATAGAGTCATAGGACGGGGAGGAAGGGTCCTTAAAGACCATCTAGTAGGACACCCTCCACTAGCGCAGATTGCTGTCTCATAGGACGGGGTGCAAGGGACCTTAAAGACCATCTAGTAGGACAGCCTCCACTAGAGCAGATTGCCACCTCTCCTCCTCACCATCCCCCAAGCCAGGGCAGCCCTGTGGAGCCCAGGCTGTCCCGGGGCAAGGATTTGGGTGCCTTAGTACTTTCATTTTTCCTGTCCCTGGTTACTATTATCCCAAGCCTATATTTAGTGTTTTGGACACCTCTTTCAGCCCTAGAGGGCACTGATTCTTCACAGACAAGCCATCACTCTTCTTCTAAACTAAGACTAAAAGAGTTCTCCTAAGAGCTAATTTGGACACTATGTTATAGGATGTGCCAAAACAAATACAAATTAGCCGGGGGGAAACAAGACAATACTAGGATTCTTATTATAAACTGTATACAAAATGGCATGAATCCATACATATTTAAAATTTTTTTGGAGACAAGTATTTTTTAACAAGTATTGTTTGAATGGTTGAACAAAGACTGATGAAATCAAAGAGGTAGTTTTGTTTAAACCTAGATTAAAACTCCTTTTCTCTCTGAAATATGTTCTCAGTTCAGACACTAGGCAGATCAGTAAGGCAAGAGATTCTCAGTGAAGACTCTCAAGTCCTTGAAGTAAAATATTTACAGAAATTTAATTAAAGGAAATGTGTCTGATTTTTTTTTTTTCATGTATATATTAAGAAAAAAACCTATATGCTTCTAATCAGGAGCAAGAAGTGTAATCATCTAAGTATCTGGAGAGCTGAAAGTAGTGCAGTGGACTTGGATACAGTTAGTTTAATTTTAATATATGAGTAACCAACATTGTAGTTTGTCTCTATAAATTATTACTGGCTCAGCTATTACTACAGTTCCTTTAAATGTTCCTTCCTATCAGAGGGAAGTCCCACAACACATCTGTGTGCTACCAGATCCTTTTTCTAAAGGGAGAAATGCAAGCTCTAGAAACCTGGCATCTGATGAATAAGCACTCCTCAGCTCTATCTCTGAGCTGCATTACTTCTGCAGTACACCTTTGCTAAGTCAGACCAGTAGAAAAATGCTAACACAGTGGACCTGTTGGTTGTTACTCTTATTTACTGCTGATACTCTGGCAGCACTGAGATGCTATCCAGTCTGCGTTATTGTGTTGGGCATTTATCCACCTACAGAAAATTAAAAGCTGCACAGGAGAATTTGCAATCCCAAAGAGACAGACACTCTCTGGCCTTCCTGGGGACACTGGTCTCTTGAAAGGAGAGGAGCCTGAGAAGAGCGTGAGCCTGCTCCCCTCTGTGCCTCACCTGAGACATGGATTTTCCAAGGTCTACATTTCACTTCTGCATTAAATTAATCTCAAAACTGAATCTGAAAAATTGCACTTGGGCTTTTATGCCTCAGTAAGGGAATCTGTGTTATAAAATGGATCCTCAGCTGAAGAAATAGCTAGTTTCTGGTTGGCACAGTGACATAGCAGCAATATACTATATAAAAATTCCATGTGCTTGATATTAGGTACCTATAGAAGTTATTTTCTTCATATTGGATGGGTATTACATATTGGCATTTGTTCCCTGCAAGGAGCTAAATTTACCCAGGCATCAGCAAGAG